ACGAATTTTGAGTATTCAGCAGACCCATACTACTACATATAGGCTACAGCATAGTTGATTCAGAAAATATTGACCGTTTGGGTAATGCACGTTTGTGAGAAAGAGGCGGGAGTAACCAATTTTACTGATGTCAGTTTGTCTAAATTCATAAAGTCGACAAGAACCTGGGCAGCAATGAAAAGTTATGCAGGATTTGAAAGAAATGAAGCGATTGAGATGTGAGAAATGATGAATCCAGTTGTAGGCCGACAGTTGGCGAGTTTAAAATATACAGGGCATTTCAGACTGTCTGATTTATCGAGATTCATCGTAGTATTAAAACACTGCAGGACTGTAGTACATCAGATAAATGCGTTATGTATAAGAATTAGTCGGTATTTGATGGTATTGTAGCAAGTACATAAGGATAGTTACTGTGTATTTTAATATTTTCACCACTTATTGTTAGGAGTGCATGTTATTTGCCTGAAACAAGGTCGTTGTCCCAATTCATTTCCTTTATGATAAATTTTTCTCGCTCAGTGTAGCTTGTCTTTGCCGTTTTTTGTTAGTTAGAAATTTGGTTTCATCACATATACTTGCTTTAAGGTTTCAAGTGTACGTTATTTGGATCAATTCGATTGTGCAACTTTACAATATAACAATTGGCACTCAATACATTGTGTGCTTATTATCATCTGAGGGAATCCATATTGGAGTCACATTCCATAACACGTGAAATTAATAACGTGGGAATCGAACTTTGAATATTAGGGTGAACAGTCTTTATCCCTAAGACCGCATCTTGTCTCCCTATAGTATTTTTATTTGTCGAAAAAAACTCACGTTGTTTCAAATATGATATTATTCCTCGTTTTAGATACTGTACTACAGAAGAAAACGGCAATGTTCCATCAGATTTTACATAATAATGTTATGCATTGTCTCTGGTTCCACCAAGCCCACCTGACGCAGGCTACCAGGGCTGCTGCTGTCAACTCTACACATGTAAGAATTAAATGCATCGAAGAAGAAGTCTCGAAGAAAAGCGTGAACGACAATCATAACAGTTGCTAACATGTTAGATAGGCTATTCATATTGAAATACTTTGGCAACCTTCTGCACTTGGAACTGCCCATAAAACTGATGTTGGAGGACTCGAAATTCATTAGAGTTTTTTTTTTCAACTATGAAGATCTTTTGAGGTCAACGAGGCATTAATAAATAAAGCTGAGGAATTAGTTTGTTCACTGTATAGAGAGGATATGGAGATACGTCTTTTTAAAACGGGCAAACATATGAATTATACTCCGCCACCCAACAATGATTCACTAAAGAAGCATGTTCTGAGGGCAAATTACCAGGAGGGGATTCATCTCTGTTGCGTAGAATCAAAGCCAATTATTCCCCCGCCCTTACCTATTGGCCATGGATAGGTTTTTGATTATGGCGTTTTGCGAGCTGAATTGATGGATCTAGTTCTATCCCCCAAATCAGTTTTTGAGTTCGCAAACTGTAAGAGTAAGAAAAATAGGTGTCGAAATAGTTTATGCATGTGCTCCAAAACAACCAAAATTGCACAAAATATTGTTTTTGTATCGACTGCAAAAATCTTTACTTCAAGTTTGTTGTTTACAAATGTTGCGCGTGTTCGGGGAGCCAACCGGCACGATAATTAAGAAAACTCCAATCCAACTCTCTCTCTCCGTACCCGTGACAAAACCTGACATTATATTGGGTCAAAGGTCATACAGATTAACCTCCACAGTTGTTTCGCAAACATGACGCAAACACGTGACGACAAGTGTGGGGCGAAGAGGTGCTTTATTGCTATTGCTGTATTGGATAGGATAGGATTTACATATTTATCCCGGTGGAGAGGAAAGCCGATAAGACGGCTTATCCATATGGCGAACCACGGCCTCTCGTCCGGTCACCATTCCAAGTCGGGTATGGGATTAGATTTACTGTATTGTTTGTTTTCGGAATCATGGACTTGGTGGTGGAGGAAGCCGTAACCGACCAGCGGTTACGTGAACCACCCAACGACGGCGAGGAGTCCAGCAATCCTCTCGCACATAACCATCCCTGCATGGGATTCGAACCTGCGAACCCACGTAGAGTAGTTAGAGGTGCGGTGGCGAGTGTATTCCTAACGCTTAGCCCGTTGAGCCTCACCGCCGCGCCGGCCGATACCGGTACCGGTACCGTATTTAGTCTGCAATTGCTGGATTGGAATGGCAAGCATGGTCTTTATGTATTTTTTCGGAACATATTAAGTACCGATACCGAAATAATAATGCGGTAGACTAGTGGCAGATAAAAAACGGCAATTTCAGATTTATTTGGCTGCTGTACTGTGATTACTGTATTATAGATAGTTCATTCAGTCATTTTGAGTACGGTACCTAACGTAGGGTGGTGCAGCCAGTCTGTGGACGATTTCATTCAAACCGCTATGAAATAAAAACCAATAGACTACCTTTTACTTGTTAAATTTTTCACCATATGTGCATTGGCATTTATTCTACACGCTGCCGGTAGGGTGGTGTAGCCAGTCTGCGGACGATTTCATTCAAACCGCTATAAAACAAAAACCAATATTTCTAACCCGTTAATTTTTTCACCGTAGGTGCATTGGCATTTATTCTACACGCTGAACTTCGAATTAACTTTCTACGACCAGGGGTTAAAGCTATACAAACCACCAAAGTACGACACTCTGAAGACGTATTTGCGACCGAACGACCAGTGTGCGATCACGGATTTCAAGCCTTGAACATCGTTTCTGCTGCGTCGAGACTAGGGCATACGCAGCCATGCCTGAAAAAATGGGCTTCTAATTGCATTTCTGACCGTCATATATTTTAAGAACACGGTTATTTCAAACAAAATTCTTCAAATTATAAACAAAGCACCGCATCACAGCAATCAAACAGACAAAAACACGGTAGTCGCAAATTAGTTGACAAAGATATTATTGACGTATTGGAAATGCGCACCCCCCTACTCCCCCTTCTTTGGAGATAGAAACGCGAAACTTTAAAGATGGTTAAAAGAAACACAACTCTACCCACCTGCCAAGTTTCATCTCTTTATCTCTTATATTTGTATGAATTTTCAGGCTTTTTTGAAGGAACAATGGGTAGTTGGCGACATGGTAAAATGGTCCTTTTTTTTCTTCGGTCAGGTTTTCGGTCGTAACTTTTTTATTTGTGGCCGCATTTTAGTGTAATTTCGCAGAGCTACGAGGGATAAGTGGACGATAACGCGTGAGAAATATCGGCGCGGTTTGTTATTTTTTTCGGCATTAATTTAATCGATGAAGTTGATGGTCGCAGATAGGTCATGGCCGCAAAGTGGGTAAGCCACCCTACAACTCGAATTAACTTTCTACGAACCGGGGTTATTAAAGCTATACAAACCACCAAAGTATGACACTCAGAAGATGTATTTGTGACCGAACGACCAGTGTGCGACCACGGATTTCGAGCCTTGAACATCATTTCTGCAGCGTTTAAAGCTAGACTACAACATATGCAGCCATGCGTCTGTGCGTGAAAAAATTGGGCTTTTATTTTAATTGCATTTCTGACCGTCATATATTTGAAGAACATGGTTATTTCGAACACAACTTGTCAAATTATAAACAAAGCACCGCATCGCAGCAATCAAACACACAAAAACATGGTGGTCGCAAATTGGTCGACAAAGATATTATAGACCTGTTGGAAATGCGCACCCCCCATTCCCCCTTCTTTAATAAATGTAGAAATGCAAAACTTTAAAGATGATTAAAAGAAACACAACTCTACTTACCTGACAAGTTTCATCTTTTTATCTCTTATATTTCTATGGATTTTCACGCTTTCCTACATGGACAATGGGTAGTTGGCGACATGAAAAAATGGTCCGTTTTTTTTCTTTGGTCTGGTTTTCTGTCGTAACTTCGTCGTTTGTGGCCGCATTTTAGGGTAGTTTCGCAGAGCTACGAGGGATAAGTGGACGCTAACGCATGAGAAACATCATCACGGTTCGTTAATTCTTCTGCAATAATTAAATCGATGAAGTTGATGTCAGCAAATACGTCGTGGCCGCAAAGTGGCTAAGCCACCCTACTTCCAGTAGGCGCAGCCTAACAATTCTTTCACATGTCAATCCTAACCCCCACCTGACTATGGCATACAAAAATTACGTCACTACGGCACCACAAGGACGTAATATAGCCGTAAAACTCCATAATACACAGAAATTGGAAATGGTGAATTCTGGAAAGCGAGCAAAACCGTTAAATTGTTTGAATGCCCGCTACCCAACCACACACCCACGAAAAACTCAAACTTTGTAAAACGACTGAACGGAGCTTAGGCCAGAAATAAACACACAAAAAATATGCGAATGTATTCAACTTTGGGGCTGTTGTATTTTTGAAATACTTACCTAAGCTAATAAGGACCAATTCAATCCGATACGATATGAAATGCAATGTCTGAATGTGAAAACAAGGTAAGAAATATGGTGAAAAGCCATGCAAAACTACACTGATTGCGGGATTGGGCATTGGTGAAGAGGTGATAAAGTCAAAAGTGGTTCAAGATACTGAGGTACATATTAACTTAAATCATATTTCTGAAACTATGCTGGTAAATAATAAACAATTGTATTTGGAAAAACACTAATCACATGTCTGCATGTAAACAGCTGAAACAGAGTTGTAATTGCTGAATTGATGAGGCCAATATTCTTAATAAAAAGGTATGCACATAGAATATAACAGAAACAAAAATATGCCATCGAATGAATGTTTGAAAACGCTGCGAATTGGCATGGTCATATTATGTTACATTACAAACTACCTAATATACAAATATTCAAAGTTTTGATTCATAATTTCTAAGAATTGCAAAATTAGCTAAACCAAAGTACTGAATTAACTCAGTCTCAAGGAAACTGCAATCTAAAAAAATCTAATAGTTTTATTGGCTGGTTTATATTACTGCACTCAACTAATCTCTGCATTGTATAAACCTTCATAGAATTTTTAATATTGTAATAGCTATAGACCATAATGGCTGGCTTGCAAGATGCTGCAAAGCGAATGCTCAAAAATGCAAAGCCTGTGGGTGGAGGTCTTGGATTTATACTTGGAGGAGCAGCCGTTGTATATGGAATTAAGGTGACTTTGATTTATCGAGCTTGAGCCCGTATCATTGTAAAAAAATTAAGAAAGAGGTTGCTGGACTTTATAGACCAGCCATGGCCAAAGTACGGCCCGCGGGCCAAATCCGGCCTGTTGGGTAATTCAATCTGGCCCGCCTGATGCTGCCACAACCAAACTGAAACCAAATTTTGATGTTTTAGCTGAAAACAGCTCAAGGAATTTGTTGCGATTAAACTTAGTTTTGGCACGAAGCTTATTGTTTTCCCAGTTTGCTTTTGTAACACTGTAAACATTGTTCATAAAATGTAACTTTTTACGTCACACTTACATGGCCCACCAGTCTAGGTAGGCGAAATTTTAGTCCCTTGTTTCAAAAACCTTGCACACCATGAAAATAGTGGAATACAGTGTTGGTAGAAGGGTTCAAACGTTGAGTTGGGAGCAAAGTTGTGTCACAGTTCATCCAAGTCTTATTGAAGTCAAGTCAAAATCGTTTCATATTTTAAACTTAGAGAGTGTTAAGTCATCGGTCATAGATTTCATATGAATTGTGAAACTGATTAATATGGCTTACATGGAAACTATAACATAAAACTTCGCCTGTCACCCATAAATCTTTGATAGGCTAACCAAAAAAAAACTGGGTTAGATATGAATCCTCACACTTGCTTGATTCTTATGATGTGTGACTATTAGTGATGGATTCCAGCTTTCGTATTATATCCTAATAACTATCATAATTTTATTCATGATTTTAGGAATCCATTTACACAGTGGAAGGAGGACACAGAAGTGTAATATTCAGCAGAATTGGAGGCGTACAAGACAGAATATATGCTGAAGGACTTCATTTTCGGTGAGCATATTTCCACTTATGCATAACCTATGCAAAAAAAAATGTTACCGTCACTTATAAATAATGAATCTGAGGTTTAGTAGTTGATAATGTTGATTATTTTGTTATTTCTCTTACAGTGTCTTACGAATATTACACATCCATAATATTGATGAATGGTTTGACATATTCGAGAACATAAAATTATTTAAAGCAATATTTATTTTCAGAATTCCATGGTTCCAATACCCAATTATTTACAACATCCGATCTAGACCAACAAGAATCCAATCACCTACAGGTAAGACCGGTGGTGAGAAGCACCAAATCTTGTCATGCACCTCTGGGTTCTATTGATAAATGCTTTTGTTCCAATTATTTATTACAGGAAGCAAAGATTTACAAATGGTCAATATAGGACTTCGTGTTTTGACCAGACCAAATGCTTCAAAACTGCCTTTAATCACACAGACGATCGGTGTGGATTTTGATGAAAAGGTGAAGTTTTACCACTTGTTTACCTGTTATGTGCTGTAGTTTAGCTACTAAAGTATAACTAATGAGTTTGCTCCGGGCTCGAAGCTATGACTTCGGGTTTTATATAGGTATGCTTAAATTGATCACCAAAGCCCTGACCAGTCAAAGCGGAAACAGTACTGATATGATAGTAAATTTGCAGATAACTACTGTCACACTAAGAGCCCTTATGTAGGTTTATCTTCGGTGGACGTCGAGTGACAAAAAACTAGCAACAATTCAAGTCGGCAACAAGGGAAGAACAATATTCAGTATAATGTATGGAAATTAGGACAAGTGTAACGCATTTTGTCAACTGGGAAGATTTTAAAGAAGCTAATTATGGGCAGTCATTGTATCGGCCCGTTCAACTCTTAATAATTCAGCTCATTATCTGTTTCAATTTCAGGTTTTACCTTCAATTACTAATGAAGTTTTGAAAAGTGTCACAGCAAAATTTAATGCTTCTCAACTTATAACACAGAGAGCGCAGGTATGTGTTTGTATTATTATACTGCTGCTGGAAATATGTTACTTCTTGCTTGAGAAGCTAGCAAAAGTTTATGGCTCACTTGATATCTGTAAACAGGTGCAAGTAAGTAAAATCAAATACATTTATTCAGGTACAGAATAAATTTTCTATTGGTGATGTTTCATCTGATCATTTACAGACTTCTCTGAGGTCCATGAGAGTCCAGTCAATATCTCACAAGTCACCAAAATCATCTTCCTCTATCATACATAGCAATTTTTCGCTGCTTGAAACGCTTCTTAGCCCCTCAAGACTCATAAAAACACACACGCTGGACCCGCAGGCTGTTTCGATCTAACTTGGCAAGTAGAAATTTCAGACCCCCCTATATTTGAAAAATTCTGGCTATGCCCCTGGGGCCGTCGTACAAGTTGTATGTTTTTTCAGTACCTGTACCTTGGTGTGAATATTATGGACAGTAACATTTGAAACCTATATGAGCACTGGGAATATGTTGATTTATTGACCCTCGTAATAACTGAACAGTTTATGAGTGGTTATATCCACATTTGACCCTGAACATGTCATTTTTTGTCAATACTTTTCAATCAGTGAGAGAATTTTTTTTTTTTGAGAAAATACACTTGAAAAAGCAATCTCTTAGTAGGTATCTTACTTTAACAGATTTTTTATATGTATTGAAGCGAAGAACAAAAAATATATTTAGAAATTTCTGAGTCTAATTTTTGTCTATATATTTATAAATTCAGGTGTCCTCTATTGATTAAACGTGAATTAACTGAACGTGCCAAAGATTTTCATCTAGTTTTGGATGATGTTGCGGATAACAGATATAACATTCAGTAGAGAATATGCAGCTGCCATTGAAGCAAAACAAGTTGGTGAGTATTCTAACATATATTCGAGAAGAAATGTGCAATGTTAGCACAATCAAATTTGAAAGGGCACTGTTATATATCTCTTGCTGTCAAACTGTGTGAATCAAATGGTATTTCTCAAGAATTAGTGAAGATGTGTATTTGCATACTCGGATTGCGGACTATTTGGTAGTTTTATGCTGAATGGCTAAATCTGCAATTCTGTGGATAAGATGTTAACTGTATCTGTATTGTGTTTCTGGGCAACTAGCATTTTCCCAGATGGTTGAGCATGTCCTGTGAATGTCATCAGTTACAGGTGACTGATCATGACCAACCAAGCTGTGAAGGTGAAGTGGCCATGTGTTCTTAGTAGTCCAGTGTCCAGTTCTGTTGGAGTGGCTTAGGGGTTAAACTTTGGTAATGGTTTTGGAACATTTATTAAATTACTTTGAACTGAGTTAACATTATAAGAATCCATCAGATGCACTTGGTATCATTGCACAATGATGCATAGGCTTGGCTCTGAATGTAGGAGTTAGATTATTTTTTTGAGGGCTATTCTCAAATCAATAATCTATCATTGACTAATTCGAGATAAGTCACTTTGAAATTAACTTCATCATGCAGCTCAACAAGAAGCTCAACGGGCTCAATTCATTGTTGAGAAAGCCAAACAGGAACGCCAACAAAAAGTTGTGCAAGCAGAAGGAGAAGCTACTATTGCTAAGATGATATCCTTTTGAAAAATTATTTACGCCAATTTTTATTTTATTTAAACTATTCTACCAAATGATGATTAAAGGCGAATGGGAATTAATATCATGTTTGACTGCTCTTAAGGTGCCATGGCATGTAATCTTGGTGAACAAGCTGCATTAGTGCATTAACCTTTTTTGGCAGTCACTCTTGCCCTGTGCTTGTTCTCTGTAAACTCGTGCTTTTATTAATTGGATTTCTATATAAGACTCCTGGAAGATTGAAGTTTGAATCTTTCTAGATTGAATAGAAAACTACAGCATTGTCATTTCCATCTATGGCCGTAGATGCAGTTCTATGATATTAGAATATGCCCGCATATTTAGTAATCTGATGGTAACAGATAAGACAAACAACAGGTCGATACAGTATTTCGAGAGCAAAATGGGGGCTTTCAGTAGTTTTGCAACAATAATGAATGAATTCATTTTACTGGTGAACTTGGTAATTTGAAAATAAGTTGCTGAAATTGCTACTGTATTTTGATTGTTACAAATTTTGCACACTTATCATTTTCCAGCTGTTGAGGAAATATTAGAAAATCAGTCTGAGTAATAAGCTCATGTTTTGCGCACACAATTAGAATCTTGCTGTTGTGGATATTCATTAATATTTGTGAGATTTTATATTTGATCATTTATTAAAGAATATTGTCTTCTTATTTCATTCAGTCTCTGAACAGTTTTTTCTCCTGTAAATAGTTTAAACAATCGTTTTTCTTGACTCTTAACCTGTACATAGGAGAAGCTATCAGTCAGAATCCTGCATACTTGAAGTTAAGAAGAATTCGAGCTGCTCAAGCTATCGCAAAAACGGTTTGTTTTTTTGTTTCAGAATTTGTTCATTGCAAAAAGTATAGAAATTACTACAGATAATTTACTTGTATGAGTTTTTTCTTTTAGCCTATTTTACATCATCTTTTATGAAAGACTTTTAACAGCTTTTCACATTCACTTTCGATCTTCTGATGAATAATCACTCAGTTACTCGACAAGAGTAAAACTTATGCATATTGTGATCATTATCGATCTCGATCAGTAAGTGTGTTGATAGGTATTTGTCTGTTAGACGCGACGCTTTCGTATGTTATGCTATATCTCACGAAATTGAAGTTGAATCTGCTCAAAATTTTGCATGTGCATTCATCATATCTCGGACCAGAAAGAAGCCTATTGATTTTGGATGAATCATGTCGTATAATTAGCGAGTTATTAATTAATTAGTGATGATACACACGGTGTCGCTATTGAGTCAGAGCGAAGGAATCGAAATCGCAGATCGATAAGTCGGCGGTTACCGATCGCTATCTAGTTTATTCTTTTTCATGTAATATGAATATGCTTTTATATTACTTCTAGATATCACAATCTCAAAATAAAGTTTATCTGGATGCGAATAGTTTATTGTTGAACCTGAAAGCTACGGATCTTGAAAAGTAAGTTATGGTTGTTTAATGTAAACAGTTGAACTCCTCGAATTAGTTGAAATAGATTACTTGCTTGGATTGATAATATTTGAAGACTCTTTGTATGAGAAAAGATTTTAAAATTTAAGACATCTGAAATTTGAGGAGAGAAGAAAATTGTATGTAGTTTAGATGAGATTCAAAAATGTGCATAGTTGGTTCTAATTTCCTTATTCATTGTGTTTCAGAGATTTGAAACGCTGAGAATATGAAATCTAATCACCTTCATGATAAAGCTTTGAGATGAATGTCGGATGACCTATTACATTAAATCAACCAATTGTAATAACCTGGTTTAGCAGTGCTGATTATGAATAAATTTGTACATTATGACGTTATATCTGGTTTGTGTGGGGTTTCTTTGTGGATGGGAATATGGCGACAAGATTGTGTTTGTTTTATTGCATTATGTTGAGATTGCTGATAGTCTTCAGGCTTGAGCCGACATAAATTACCTATCGGGATAGAGGAAAATTAATTTTCAGCGCTTGCTCAGAAATCTTGTTTCAATACATGAGTCGCTGTGCAATTAATTCCATTGTAATAAAATGACCATAACTATCTGACCACCTTCTATTTTTCATGCCAATATCTCATCACACCAACATCTCAAACTTGCATTAACCTTAATATCTGTATGATATTTCTGGGATTAATTAATATCTCGATTGTTTAAAGTTTTTCAAGCAGATAGGTACCCGATTAGGATCTCCACCAAGCGCACAAGACAGTTTAAAATGGGAGGCTTGCGGGTTAATACGAAACTTAGTCGCTCCGAACACGATCAGGCAGCCACTGATATAAAAATAAACTCTCGGAAGTGTTACTCCTGTGTTGGAGTTTTAAAAAAATTCCAATTTCTCGGTTGGTTGGTAAAAAACACCTTATTATTAGTGAATCTCTTACGAATAAATATTACTGAGAAAGATGTAGGAGTGGGTAGAATAAAAACATATATATGCGTTGAACAATAGCAAAATTGAGATGATGGATTCTGAAGACAACTACGGTAACTGCTCAGACCTGACGGGGTGATAAACTGTGAATCTATGCTACACATATTCACCGCTGTTATGGTGTGTTTATCTCGCACCAAATGAAGATCCTTTTTTATTAGGCTGTGTTGATAAAAAAAAAGGTACATAACAAAAGTATTTGATTTTATAAAACAGTGATAGTGCACTGCACTGTAGTTGTATACAGTGCATAGGAAAATTGAAACGTCTTTAGAAGAGATCATATGTTATCATTCATCTGGCAGAAAAGTGTTCTCAGCTTCCTCAAGCACATTGGCAGAGTCTTCAAGTTCAACCTAAGAAGGATTAACATATTTTATTACTTAACTCTATTCACTGCCAGTGCTCAATGAAATTGTGTGACATTTGAACCATGCATTGAGAATTCGGACCAAGCTTGTCATAATACTGCTAATTTCATATCACCACTGTTGAATTCATTTCAGCTAGTCAACTCATTGTATCTATACAGTGGTGGGATTCAATTTTTTGTTAGCCGGTTCCATCACAAAAGTCATTTGTTTCAGCCGGTTCTGTTGCCAAAAAGTCATTAACAGTAACCAGTAATGCTACCCAGTTCGCTGATCTCATAAAATTTTGTGAGACGGTTCTATAGAACTGGCTGAATCCCACCACTGCATCTATATTAGTTAACTGGATCAAACCCGGACTGATAATCAACTGATCAAGTCCATGCATCTGAAACAGATGATTGGCTGACTAGCACCATACCCGACATGGACTGGTAACCGGACGAGAGGCCGTGGTTCACCATATTATTGAGCTGGCTTTCCTCTCTCCCGAGATAAATATGTAAATCCTAACCCATGTCCTAACTAGCTAGAGACTGTCATCTGCCAGAAGATCAGGTTATTTTATCAACTTTCTTCTCCACATTGATCTAAAAAAAATTCATGTTCCAACTTTATTAATTATTAGGGCCCGACCGATATATCGGCCGGCCGATATATCGGCCTTGTTTTTCACAAATTTTGAACTATCGGTATCGGCTAATTTTACCGATAGTTATCGGCTAATCACGTGACTGCCAAAGTGTCAAAATTGCGCCGGGAAAGCAGTTTTATCGCTTGTTTAATTCGAGAGCGTTTCTGCGTGAAACTCTTTTTCTTCACTATTTCTATTTCTCTCTTACCAAAAGCGGTTTCACGGACGATTGCGACACAGGATTTCACACTTTGCAAGCAAGTTTGCAGCGTGGTGGCTTACAAATCGAAGCGATAGAACACGTGAACGGCTTATTTGTGTCAAATAATATACGCTAGATTAAATAGAGAATTTTCGCGTAGTTTACACGGCGCTTGATTTCCCTTGCGCTTTAGTCGTTGAAGGTATTATTTAATTTCTTGTATTGGTATGTTATAGATAGCTGGTTCTAGCGGTAAGAGCAAAGTATGGGAATACTTTGTATGCCACAGTGATGGTGTACTTTGTAAAATATGCTCATCATTGTTAAGTCAAGGTTCCGCCGATTCCAAAAAGAAAAACACCAGTAATTTGTGGAGTCATCTCAGATCGAAACACAAGAGCAAGTATGATGAGATTTCGCAGACGCAGTTAACGCGAAAAAGGCCAGCTGAAGCTTCCCAGTTTAATCGGCAACCTTCATGGGAACACATAATGGATAAATTTAATAAATGGCATGGAAATGACGCAAGAACGAAATCACTTGATAAAATAATAATGGAGATGATAGCCACTGACAACAGGCCATTTGCAATAGTGCAAGATGATGGATTCCGCAGGCTAATAGAAACCATTGAACCTCGCTACGCCCTAAAGACTGAGAAGTATTTCAGAACAGAAATGCTGCCACAAATATATGAACTTGTGAGCCAGAAAATAATGACTCTTCTCGTGACAGAAAATGCTGGCGATGGATTGGCATTTACTACAGACTGCTGGTCAGGACCAACAGAATCACTTATGAGCTTGACTGTTCATTTTATAAATTGTAATCGGGAAAGATTCCAAATTGTATTAAACATCAAGGCCATGCATGGCTCGCATACTGGAGAGTACATAGGAACCACTTTTTTGGATTTACTGCAACAGTGGAATATTGACAAGAACCGTGTGTTCCTAGTTCTTCGTGACAGCGGGGCAAACATGGTAAAGGGTTTAAATATGGTAGAACTTCCCAATCTAAGCTGCTTTGCCCATAGCCTTCAACTTGTTATTAATGATGGACTCCAAGCACAAAGAGCGAAACATCGTTATCGGCTTATCGGCCTAGTTTTGGAAAACTAGCAGTATCGGTATCGGTTCAAAAAGGCAGTATCGGTCGGGCCCTATTAATTATCCCATATTTTAAAAGCTAATCACCTTTGGTATTGGATAAGTTGTTGGTGATGGTGCACTTTCCCTTAGAAAATCTATCATTGTCCCACATTTTGCAATATCATCAACCCAAACTCCTTCATACACTTGGCCGGTATCTAGATAGTAAAATTTTCCTCGTCCATTCTTCTTTCCATTTCTCCATTCTCCTTCATATCTATTTTCTGTACCTTTTAAAAAAATGAAATTTATTTGAGTTCATAGCAATTTGTTTTATCATTCAACATGAAACACCGGGAAGAATTAAGGAAGTAGCTATGTTTTGACCATGTCCATTTGAACGCAACTATATCTGGAGAAATTAAAAGAGAACAGTTTTGAAATTCATCATATACAAATTTGAAATTAATATATTCATACTTAGTCTGTACATTCCTTTCCCAGATTGTTTATCATCTTTCCATTCTCCTTCATAAATTGATCCATCTTTATAATACATCCTACCCCATCCTGATCTCTGGTCAGCTGTCCATTCCCCTTCATAATATTCAGAGTCAGTATAAAAATAAGTTCCATAACCCTGTGGAAGGTGATCATTTCAAAGTTATATATAAAAAATACTATTTATCAATCTTCCTGGAATAGTTCAAAGTAGGAATGCAAGTTTCAGAATTTTAAATCTAATTGATTTGAATTGACTTTATTTCACGGTAAATTGATTCAAGCAATGATATAAAATCCATAGTAATTCTAAATATCAATCAACGTCGCTAAATTGTCACAACATGCTTACAACAAGACAAGTTAAATGTCTAGTTGATTTAATATATCATCTCCTCTGGCAAACTGATTCAATTATGGCCATTTTTAATGGGACTATTTACTTTTGAATAAATAAATTACTTCATTAACTAAATAAAAATGTTCAACAATATGATAAATATTTAGTCTCCTTTGTTGTAAAGCATGTGATCAAGGAAACAAAAATATGACTATTTCGAGGTTTCAATTAACCAGTAATTTGAAAGTACAATAGATTCAGATAATTTATTTCTATCATGCAAGAATCAATACAAAAATTAGAGCACAAAAAACAGTCAAAAATGTACCGGTATAATGACGATCATAAAAAATGTAATTATACACATAAGAAATTTATACAAGTGTAAGATTCATAACAATAGATAACAGGTCGAGAAAGACTGTGACAGTCATCGGGTCAGCAACACCTGTTGGCTGAAGTTTTGAAGGAAAGACGAAAAAATTATACAAATTTAATCCCTCATAATTAACAGAAAACAAAATCACAAAATATATATCATAATAATGACTTAGATAGTCAACTCACATGTTTCATGTCATTTTTCCACCCTCCTGAGTATGTTTTATTATATTTTGCGGATGCTTTATGAGGATAACTAAGAGTGCCAAATCCAGATCGCTTTCCATTTTTCCAATCACCATCATATATACTACCATCTACCTTGTTAAGTTTTGTTCCTTTTCCTGAAATCACATACATTTTTCAATCAAATATTATTGAAATACTATATCCCCATATATAGGGATGTTTTTTCTATAGTGATGGATGTATCCGGCTCCAGGAGAATTTTATCATTTTTTTCTATACAGCTATATTATAGTATACAGTAACGGGGTCTGGTATAGTTCAGTACCGCATGCACTTCTAGTTGGCCTGGCTCAACAATTTTTGCATCTGTCAATCTTAACCTCCATCTGACTACATCACCGAAAAATTATGTCATTTCGACGTCACAGTGGCGTAATAAGACCCGCCAAAGTATGCGGGAGGTCCTCCAAAACGTGCAGACAATCATTAGGAGAGAGATCGCCGGGGTGGAGTTTGGTATAAGCGGCACAGATGCTATTCGGGCCATCGTAATTATACTTTGACAAGCCCTATGACGTGATGGTGACGTTGTAGTGACGTAATTTTTTGATGACATAGTGAGGTGGGGGTTAGGAATGACATATGCCAAATTCGTTATGCTATTCCCACGGGAAGTACTTGTGGTACCAAACTATACTAGACCCCGGTAACGCTAGCTGTATTCTGGTATTTTCCAACTTACCATGTTTTTTGTTATCGTCCCATTCGCCAGTGTATTGATCACCATTAACAGAATAAACAGTGTGTCGAAGCCCCTTCTTTTGAGCTTTGTAGTCCCATGTGTGCCACAATGGTTCGACTTTTTTCGAATGCTTCAAATGCGGCATCTCGATGCCTGATGATAACCCCAGATCAGGAAATGAAACAATTTGAGTTTGTCGTTGTCATGGGAACTGAAGCCAGCCTTGCGTATCGACTCGCTTTTGGACTGAGAATGACGATCCGTTCTCAAGACAAATAGGCGAGTGAGAACGATAAATTTATTATTTGTCAACATAAAAATTTGGGAACAAAATGCACCAATGCTTTGAATCCGTGCTCGTCAACCGGATGTATAGTACACCCAGGGTGTACAAAAAAGTTTGAAGGGTGTACCACTCGATAGGGTTTACCGTACCGAATGTTTTAGGGCAGTGATTACCAAACTTTTTTTCGCGACCTCAATTTTCGTACAATCAAAAACTACAGCTCTTTGCGACCCCACAACAGAAACGTCAAAATCAGTATATTCAATTTCATTCGCTCAATGGGAACAATGAGCCTGTATATCGACTGCAAGTGGGCGTGGTTGGTGAACATAAGCCCACAAATATATGAACGAGTCCGACAATGCACCGAATAACGTCAGAAGATTTGATAACACATGAAATCGTATAAAAAACGGCGTAAAAATCTCTGAGATAGAATTACAACGGTGGTTGGTGAAACATAGACAGAATTGATAAAAAGTGGCAGGTGAACCAGTTGATTCCAACAGTGTCTGAGAGCATGGGCAGTAAAACAGAAAAAAACGAGTACGGGATCACATCTTATTAAGAGACTTTTGTTATGCTAGAATTTATTGCTGTTTTGTGTTTGACTGTTTGGAAAACTTTAGAATGATGTATGAACGTCTAAAATCAGGGGTCACCAAACTACGGCCCGCGGGCCGGATCCGGCCCGCGGCGTCATTTTATCCGGCCCGCAATAACACGCAAAAATGGCTAAATTTTTTACCGATGGAGATTTTCCCCATCATCGTCTTCCTTGTTTATTTCGTAACATTGGCCAATCAGCAAGATGCAAAAAAGTGACGTATTAATGGGCCTTTTCGCATCCTCTCAGACACTTTTGTCACCCTGACAGATTTTCAGTCGTGGTTGTGAACAATACTTCGTTTTTGCGGCTTTGAATGCTATTCGTTAGTTTTTGGTTGTGTTTCGGAAATTGGAATATGAATCAAATAAGTCAATCATCATTTGCCTCCTTAGGAGTTGTAGTTTTAATCAATGAGCATATATACAATGAGTGGAAACTTGCAAAGATTTGCTCATTTTGGTATTGTTCCCTGCATTTTTTACGTCGTCCAGCTAAATGGTTCGTTGCATATTAAGAAAACGCATTGCTCGCTGCCAAAATCCCTTGCTTCAGCCGAGTCGGGTGCGAAATTGACCGTATTGAGGTCTTTAATTCTTCAATACATATTTGGTTTTGGGTTTCGAAGTATGGTACGCTGAAAGCATACAACTATGAGCATATGCTTATTGGGAATGCATATCTATTAGATAGTAAACGTGGAAAAATTTGTATTCAATGGAAGAAGCATACTGAAAATAGGGAATTTGTGCAAACCAAAAAATTTGGGGGGTTATGATATTATTAACATACCCATTTTTACAATGTGCATGTACATAATTAGTGTCTTGGATTATTATAAAGCTAGAGAATATGATTTTAATGAGGATTACAATCATATTTGTATGTCCTTTGTTGAATACAATATTGGACAACAACTTAGTACATTTTGGGGGATTAGAACTAAAAATACATGTTTACATAGATTTTGTCCTCAAAGTGAGTATAGATTAATATTAGAATTTTTAAGGAAGCATAACATAAGTAGTACAGATATAAGAGAAGATATGCATAAAACTATTTATAAAAAAATTGTTATTTCTATGACTGGGGACAGATTAATTTTTCTACGCAATTGTAATTTAAATATTGCATGTGAGAATATTCATAATAATATTCTGGCAAACTATATGAAAACCTTTAATTTCAAGTTAATGTGGGATATTTTACCAGTAAAAACAAAACCTGGAATAAGAAATATAGCAGGAAATGATATGTGTGTGTTATGTGGAAAAGAACGAGAATTTGTTAGCCATCTTTTTATGAATTGTGAATATTTTGATTATGTTTTTGATTTCATGGAAAATACTGTTAGGAATTTAAATAATGCCAGACTTTTTGAAAAATTATGAAACTTGTGTTTTATTGGATTTAAGCTATTTGTTACATTCCAACATTACAAGATGTTTATTTAATTTCAATCACTAGATATAAAATATGGATACAAAGAAATTCTGTTATATTCGAAAGTAATACCCTAATCAGCACCTAGTTATCAAACAAATAAAAACTGCAATCACTTACAGACTCAACATTGAAAAAAATAGAAAATCACCAAATTTTGTCAGAGAATTTGAAATACTAAGGAATTGTATTTGAACTATAAATCTAGTGTGTATAAATTTAGTATGTATTAAAATGAACATGTCTAATATATTTAATTTTTTACGTTTATTGTACATAATCTAACTCAATATACTAAAAATTGATGAATTGTATGCCGATGCGATCAACACCTCAAACACTGATGGAATGGACATATGAAAAATGAATATTGGATTATTTATCCTACAGTACAGAATATGAACCAGTCGCCCAGTGGGGTGCGGTTATTTATGTATTTATTAGGATAATGAGGATAAGGATAAGGATTTACATATTTATCCCGGGGGAAAGGAAAGCCGATAAGACGACTTATCCATATGGCGAACCACGGCCTCTCGTCCGGTTACCATTCCAAGTCGGGCATGGGATTAGTTATATTGTTTGTTCTCGGAAGCATGGACTTGTTAGTGGAGGAAGCCGTAACCGACCAGCGGTTACGTGAATCACCCAACGGCGGCGAGGAGTCCAGCAATCCTCTTGCACATAACCATCCCTGCATGGGATTCGAACCTGCGGACCCATGCAGAGTAATTAGAGGTGCGGTGGCGAGCGTATTCCTAACGCTTAGGCCCGTTGAGCCACACCGCCGCGCATGGGATTTACATATTTATCCAAGGGTAGAGGAAAGCCGAGAAGAATGCCTAAATATATGGCAAACCACGGCCTCTCTCAATCATAGCTCTGTCCTCCATATGAATCACATGGCTCTGCGAGCTATTCGTTTACTTATTAAAAATACTGATTTTTACTATTTCTCTGGGATATCTTGCCATTGAAAACAAAAGCCAGAAATTGGAAGAATAGCAGAGAATGAAATGTGTGTATTATGTAATGAAGAACCTGAGTTTGTTTCACATATTTTCATGTATTGTAAATTTACAAAAAATATTTATGAGGATTTTGTTTTAGATATATTAAAATTGATTAGAATACATTTTGTTATCAATATGATTCTTGCACATTATTTAATTTCAACGATCCTTTATATAGTCATATAGATACTGTTGATTTGGATGCAATTATACTTTTGTAATCAATAGTGAAATATAAAATTTTGACCATGAGAAATTCTATTATATTCGAAAATAAAACACCCCATTTTGCCTTTCTCAAAAAGCAGATAAAAATGGAACCCATTTGAGAGGGAATTGAAAAATTTATGTAAAGCGTTATTTCAAAAAGAAAATTATATGTTTATGATATGTATTTTATATTTACTAATTTCATTTTTATTGTTTTATATCAATGCATTATTAAAATAACCTAATTATGGTATGGATTACTACTGGAATTGAACAAAATAAATACTGAATCATGGATGCAACATGGAATATGAACTTATTTATATTAACCGTAATTAAAATCACTCATTGAGTGAACGAATGAGCATACTGTAATGCTTATTGGGAATACATACCATTTATTAGGCAGAAAACTTAACTACAGAACAGAATATGAACCAGCCAAGTGGTGACCTGGGATATTGTATTCATTGATAAAGATAGTTTATTTTGAAAAGTCCACAATCTGACAATACAAACAAATAAAAAATGGAGAGTTCTGGAGAGCGAGCAAAACCTTTAAAAAAGTTTAAAACACGATGAGTATCATGTGCCCGCCATGTTATAGCAAGTAGTAATGTGTAATGAATTTAATTCACTGTGGTAAATGAATTGCTATCTTTTTATTTGTTATGAGCACACTTGCTGGAACTCCATAATCTATTATTTTATTTGTTAGTAACACTTTTTATAAAAATATCAAATTGTTTATCATACTTGCATCCATATTTCGCCCTAAATTCTATGACACTTTCTCTGTATCCAAATATCTATGTACATGACCACATTATTTATTTTTTAGTAATACTTCGTTTAAAAGTATCTTAATGTTTATTATACTTGCTATTCTGGTATTTAATCAATTTTTTGCCTTGAATTTTATTCTATGATACTTGCTCTGTATCCAAATATCTATATGAGCACTTTATTTATTTTTTAGTACCGGTAATACTTATTTAAAAATAACCTATCGTTTATCATTGCTATTTCGGTATATTATCAATATTTCGCCTTAAAATTCATTCTATGATACGTGCTCTGTAGCCGAATATAGATATGTACATGAGCACTTTATTTCATATATATATATATATCTGCTGGAGAAGGGTCAAATCCTGATCATGTATTAATGTGTGTCACTATCCTCCAAATCACTTGCCAGTCATAATCAAGTATTATAATTTGATGGGTTCAAATTATAGTGTATAAAGAAATATACTCATGATTGCATTACTATTATCAAATGTTTATAATTAAAGTGCTATAATAATAGAATTTTCCTCATCTTTGCTCATAAAAAACCCATGTCCTATCACATTAATTTTTAGTAGATAAATTTTCCAAATAATAGGTATCCTTGCTAACCCATTTTTATGCAGTTGATATGCAATACATGTCAACTTATCAGCTGAATAAATGATGATCTTAGGACAAAACATGATTATTTAGTAGTACTTTCCAAATCAAAAATTCTTGTGAATAATGTATATAGTGAATACGGTATATGAGAGCTATTGAAGAATTTAACACCGAACCTGTTAAATGACCCCAAATGTTGTAACGTTGTCTCCCAGTCAAACACCTGAGCATCTCTTTTTTTTATTATAATTTATATATG